GGGTCTCTGTCCTGAGTTAAATAACGTGCAGTGTTTGACTTGTTCTCCTCCTTTTCTATTGGAAACACTGGAAGGTGGGTCTATTGGCCCAACAAGTTCGACAACTCGGTTCCTTCCGGCACATTACGGTTCTGAATAATGGTCAATCAGGTATCGTGTCTAGTTTATTTAGCACTATCCGAGGAGGTTGCGGAAATTCGACACCTTGGCGTGTATATACATCTGATGAATCAAAACCTGCTTAGTTATGAACTAGGTCAGCTGGGGTTTTTATTTTCCTTGTGGTTATTGCAGGTAATTATACTGGTCTTATAATTCCAGCAGCTACAGTTGGAGCTGTGGGTTATGGTTATATATGGTGGAAGGTAAGTGATATTGCTGTAGACTGCTCTGACAGTAGAGTAGTCTTCTTATTGTTTCTCTGGGATGTAGTACTTTGAAATTATACTAAAGTTTCCTCTTGCTCTTAGGGTTGGAAAATTTCAGATCTTATGTACGTGACAAAGCAGAGTATGACAGCTGCTGTTTCGAATTTGACAAAGCATCTGGAGGGCGTGACTGATGCTCTGGCTGTAAGTTGTCTCATGTGATGGGCTTCTTGTTTGTTTTATTCCTCTGACACTCAATATGGTAAATTAGTATTCGGTTAGTTAGGTAGTTAGTTACTCAGTTTATCATTTGATGAATTGTTTTAATTGAGCTTGCTGTGAAGTTTCTGCTTAGGCTAGACAAACTGCAGAAGCCTTAGCTCCATGACTTGAGGAAGTTAGGAGTCTGTTGCTATCCTGTAATGAACCCACTATTGCTTACCTGTATAGCATCTAATAGTGATTTGCGTTTTCTTGTCGCCCAGAAAGCAAAGGAACACTTAACACAGCGCATTCAGGGTTTGGATGATAAGATGGATGTGCAGAACGAGATCTCTCGGAAAATTGAAAGTGACGTAAGTGAATTTTCTTCCACAATTTTTCATTACCATTGTTCTTGGATTAAATGGATTTACCTTTACCTATCTCCCCCACCCAAAAATAGAAAGAAAAAATAAAAAATAAAGGGATTACCTGCAGGACACTACAACTATGTGATGCGTAATTCTGTATGTTGTTTGGAGTTTATGGTGCAAGTTTGATGTGCTGTTATTTTTATTGTTAAGCCGATATGTGAAAATGATTTGCTCTGCTTATTTATTGGAATGCGATATAAGTTTTTGATTGTTCAGCTAAGAATAGTAATGTCTGAGAAATGGTATAGAACCAAGTTTCGGAGATTCCGGAGATTCCTTTTTGCAAAAGATATTAAACTAATCACCATCTCCCTCACTTGTTGCCGCCTATGTGCACATTGTTGCTCATGAATGGTGTGAAATGCAGAAGGGTCAGGTTGTCATAGTATTGGTTATTCTGGCAGGTGCACATTGTTAAATGGAAAAAAATAATCCAAAACATGGTTCCGAGTCATGGGTTCGCCGGTCATGTTACATATTTTCCTTTGTCGAAATACGCATTCAAGACCTGTATGGAGTGCTAAGAGGAGTCATTTTTTCCTAATACTATTAACTATGTGATGCAGGTTAATACTATCCATGATAATATTCAGATGCTTGATTCTGAAGTGGGGCAGTTGATAAGTTTTGTCAGTGGGTTGGTAGGTTTTCCTTTCTAATTGTGCTGTTGCGCGGGTGCTTTTGTCATTTGCTTCGCTTCTGGTTCCTTCTTCTGTGATGGTTGTTTCATGATTCAGACATCACTTTCTTTATTTTGCAGGATAAGAAGCTGGATTCATTGGAGTACAAGCAGGTATGTTTTTTATAAGCTCATAGATACATACAAGGTTCAACAAGGCATAATTCCAATGCGCTAGGCAGTGACAAAACGCCTCGTCTAGGCTCTAGGCAGACAATCTGGCATTCATAACGCTTATGCGGCTATTATATAAAGCTAGGCATGATTAATTAGCATGAAGGGTGATTAGTCGAAGTGAGATGCTCTTAACACATTGACATACAAAGAATTAAGAAAAAATGTAGCTGATCTTTTCGAAATGACTTCTTCAGTTTTCTCCAGCTCCTGTCGACCCAACCTTCTGTCCTACTCTTTACCATCGTAAATCTAGGAAATAATGAAATGTTTTGCTTGTTGTTGAGGGTTAGCTATGTTATTAATCATTTGAAATTGAACTAAATTAAAAAAGTGTTATAAAATTGTTATTTCAACTAAAAAATTGCTATTTTTGCTTTGCCCATGCTCCATTTAGGCGTGCTAGGCACTAGGCAGCGAATGGCTGCCTAGCGCCTAGCGCATTCTTGAACCTTGGATACGTAAAAGGCTCTTCCAGTGGAGTTTTTTTTTTTTTTTTTTTTGTATCGAAGAATCAATTATGACACCCACACACACACACATTTGTGTTTCATCTTTTGATTCTGGCTGCCTGATTTTTTTTTCTTTTTCTTACAGAGTCTAGCTAATTGTGGCATTGACTACCTGTGCAACTTGGTCAAGGGAAAGGAAGTGATAATGCCCAAAGAAATGGAGGTTAGCAAATGCATCGCTTTAGCCAATGCATATAGTAGTATAGCTCTCTTCTGTTTCAATTTAAGCACAATTCTTAGAACCCAAGTCAAAATAAATGCACATCAAATAGGTCTAGCTCTTGAAACACTCTGTAATCATCAAGAAGGATGGATGGTCTATTTTACAACTTCAGCATTTTCCTTGTGACTTCAGTACTAGTCATCTCCTTGTTTTAGGTCAACCATTTTCCATCAGTATTATCGAGCAATCTTTCATGAAGGGGAAAAATATATGATACTAGCCATTAAAATATGTCATGTTTCTATTTCTTCAATGAATTTGTTGCAGGTAAAGTTTGTTTCGGGGAGCAGTCGTGCAATTACATTCCCTGGTGATCATTCAGGTTCCATGGTAATGATATATTAGTCTGTGTTGGTTTTGACATTTCTGGCCTTTATTTTGTTCATGTACTGGTATAATTCGAGATGGTTATCTCAATGAAGTATGTGGTTTGGTGAAATTTGCATTGTCCAAAACTTTGGATCCTTCTATGGTTGTTAATGCATTAAACTTGGTTGTCAGTATTACCGTGAGTCCTAAAGCAGCTGGGATCTACTTCGATACTTTTCATGAGGTTAATTGTCAAATCATTGTGGGTTGTGAATTATACCATGGCCCTTGCTTCTTTCTATCAGTTTCGGTTGGTGAAGGATATTATAGAGAGTGGGCAGTGTTTCAATGAAGTATACCACGTCAACCTGGGAATGCATACGTAGATTCTGCCTGTCTGTTCCAATTTGTGCTTGGTATACTTCATTCAACATGCTGCTGTCACCCAAGAACAGAAAGTTCGTAATGTGAAAGACGGATGAAATCGCAAGTTGGTCCTGCATTCTTTCTGTGGCACTAGTCTCCTGGGCTGATCAGTTTTGTTTCCATTGCGTACCCAGGGTCTTAAGGCGCTGGACTATTTGTCTATACTTTCTGATGACATCCAAGTGAATGGAGAAGAGCCACAGTCCCCGCCACGTCGTCTTGTTCTACCGAGGTAAGAAAAAAGTTGCAACTCAGTTGACGATTGAAACGTTCGTCTTCGTAATAGTGCAGTATTTTTGACAATGATGTTTGAATGTCTGCAGGGCTAATTCTGTCAAGGCTTGATTGACTAGAGGTTGCACAACTGGCTGGTTCTGACAGCAGAGTAGGGTTATAATTTTCGGATTGCATGCATGTTGTTTGAGTACGGGTTTAGACATGGTTGGGTTGTGATGAACCATCTAGTATATATAATACTGCAGGCCGGGTGAGGTTTGTTTTATTAAGATTTGTTTAATTATCTATAGTATTAGGATTGGCTATTAAATATTTAAATTATTTTAGACGATTACAATCGTGTAGTCTTAAACACATTCTTCAAAAATTTGTCGGTCATTCACTTGTGGCTTTATTTTTGGTTTATGAAAATTTAATCCAGGAGCTAACATCTCAACCAACTACTAAATCACACCACACACTTAGCACTTGGCACAGAGAATTGATTATTTTTTTTTGCTTAATAATTAATTCTTAATTTTCGAAATTATTTTGTGATGATTAATTTTGGATAAGTAATTAATTATTTGATTTTTGTGAAACGATGCAAACCTTCAGAGTTAACTATAATTTTTTCACAATAAAAAGTTTCATGGCTGTCGCCTGCCAGACTTCTTTCTAACGTTCTTCTTTTTATTCTTTGTTTCATTCTCAAATACACAAACACAAAAGTTTGAAAGATTATTGCTTTCAAATATTAATTGGAGGGACTTTTGGAAGTGATTTGCCAAATTCCTACTAGCAAGTTACTAGTGAGGAGGACAAAAGCAAAATATGCAAGGAGAAGAGGAAGTAAAATTCCAACTTGAAATCTCTCAATTAAAATCAACAATGATACCTTTGTTCATCTGAATGGAGTTTGCAATGTCAAACATTGTTTGCTAGCCGCAGACAAACGGTGTCCATCTCATATCTTCTTTTACTATTTTTCTGAAAAAAGCAAGAAAAAAAAATACATAATAGAACCTATCCATCCAGACCTAATCTGAATTTTTAGATTAATATATTTGGGTAGACAACAATTTGATGACAACACTAAGTAAGGTAGTTAAAATCATTTAACCTTTCTTAATGAAAGCAGAAATAACAATGAACACAGGTAGGTCAGTTTTATGACCGGACTGTCAGGTTACATGGCCAAAAACTTGGCTTTTCCAGCCTTTTCATCTCTCACGACTCCAATATACAAGTACATCAAATCACCTTCATTGTTGCTTCTTGATACAAGTCACAAGAGTGTGCATATTATACACAAAATGGATGGTACTTTGTTTTAATTCCTCAACTTCAAAAGCAGTAAAAGGTACAGACAGCAAAAGAGCTTCTCAAATATGGTTAGTGGAAAAAGTGGCAGTAACTAAACGGCTACCAAAAACAAAACAACAACAAAAAAATAACTCAATGGAAAGGAGATGGGAGGGTTAGTGATCCATCCCAGAAGGACTGCCCTCCTGCTGATGAGTTGAACAATGGCAACAAACTCTCTTCCTCCTTCCACTCCAAATTCGACAAACCGGTCGCCTCCTTGCCACTGCCATTCCCTGATGTGTACATCATGAAGGAGCTCTGGCCTTGGCTGATTCCATTGCAGTACAGCTCTGCTGCCTCCTGATCAATCACTTCCTCTTTGTGTGTCCCAGCCACTGAGGAGAGCTGGAAGTTCCTTAGCTCAGTTGACACATGGTGGTCTTCAGTCTCTTGATGATTGTTGTTATTACTACTACTACTACCACCACTGATGCTGCTACTAGTGTTCAAGTTCTTCTCCACAAGTTGTTTGAACACGGATGACTTGAGCAGGAGGCCGAGTGCCGATGGGGAAGTAGTGGTCGATGATGCTAGTGATGAAGATGACGACGAAGACGACAGACAAGTGTTCTTGTTGCCACTTGGAGGGGAGAACATGCCTGATGGTCTCGTCTGGAAGAGTTCATGCTCCAGTGGGTTCTCGTTCAGATTGTCTAGTATTCTAAGGCTGGAATGTAGAAGTGGGAGGTGGTGGTTTTGTGGTGACATTGTTGTTGTTGTTGCTGTTTTGTCAGTTTGGAAGTAGGCCATGGAAGGGCAAGAAGAAGCAGCAGCAGCTGCTGTTGTCAGTGGGAAGCTTTCAAGATCCAATTTGGAGTCATGGTTTTGTGTAACATCAATGGAAGAAGGGGTATCGGATTCCGGTTTCAGCCACCTGATGTATGTGCTGAGATCGAAATTCGTCACAGCATTGATACCACGGTATTCGATTGCTGCTATGTCATAGGCTCTAGCTGCCTCCTCTTGGGTACCTGGATGCAAAAAAAAAAAAAAAACCCCAACAAGAACCAAATTCCTTTTAAGCCCATTTATTGTAAGTTCTGTGAAGGTTTCATAGTTCTTGTTTCAGGAATAAGAATTCAGGTTTGTCTTAGAGACTTACTGTAGGTCCCAAGGTACAAGTACTTGTTCCCAAACACTCTCCCTATCCTTGCTTCCCATCTTCCATTGTGATGGTGCCTGTCAAAGGTATTCAGCCACCTTAGCCAAATTTTCTTTTCCAGAATTTATCTATCCTGGTAGCTAAAAGATTTTCTTTTCACTGCCCTTTTTCTTACCTTGCAACTCCTCTGTATTTAGACACACCTCTTGAGAATCCACTGCTTCTTCTGGTAAACAAAACAAATCAAAACTTTGTTCTGCCAGGACTCAGGACAAAGGCAATAATTGACTTTACAGAAACTCTGGTTCTTTTTACCTTCTCAGTGAAGCAAGGTACTCCTCTTTTGTCACATTCTTCATTATTTCAAGTTCACTTTCGTACTCCAATACCTGCAGCAGAACCATTGGAGACATTAGAACCAGAGTGTAATCCTCAATAATCAATACCAAAGTCCTTGAAATTTATGTCTGGAGTCATACAGGAAAATTTGTGAAGGCTGACATTCCCCAGTACTTGAGAGCAGCCAGATCATAAGCTCTGGCAGCAGATTCCTCTTCATCATAAGCACCTGTCAGGAAAACAAACAAATGAAAAAGGTAGGTTAGCTTAGGTAAGCTTTCTTCCATAAAAGAAGACTTGGATTGGATATCTATCTCATCAACCTTCAGTTCAAAAGATTGATGAATCAGTGCTACTCACCAAGATAAACTGTTGCGCGCCAAAGCGGTCAAGCAACCACATGAAAAGAGGATACAATCATTAGTTAATCAACCAAAACAAGTATTCCTGAAAACCTAAAAGAGGCACACAAAAAGGGAAGCAAACTTCCTCAGAAACTAACCTTGCTTCCCTTTCTTCTTCTGGGTTGGGTTCCAGGATCCCTTGTCCCACAAATGAGCTTCATATCTTCCAGTCCATCTATGCCTGTAGTAGTATCAGAATCGATTAGAACGAATTCTTACCTACCCTTTTGTCAGATCAGGATTCCAAGCCCAATGCAACTCTTAAAGAAGCAAGAAAATTCAGAATCCTGACACAAACCTGCTAACTCCCCTGAACCTGGAGCTTCTCTTCACAATGGGAGCAGTTGTAGTAGTACTCGTCGTAGTAGCAGTAGACGACGTAGCTTGATTGACACCTTCCTTGCTGCAGCTCGATGCTGCTGCTGAAGAATTCGGCTCTCTACGCCGCCTTTTAGGAAACTTAGCCTCCACAACTACATCACCTTCCATAGACCCAAACCTGCGCTTCACTTCAGGAATGTTGTCAGGAACCATCTCAGCTTGTTTGTTTGATTTCTACCTAGGATTAATAGGAGAGAATGGAATGTCTGCCTTTGGTTTTGCAGTAAGTGTGAAGTATTTATACATGGGCAATGGGCTAGGAGCTTCAGTCATTATTTTGTTCCATTCCTAGTTTGGATCCTGCTGTAATAACAACAACGGTACTGTTCATTTCCTAACAGGACAAAGGCTAACGATGTCTGCAAGGGAAAGCCTTGTGAGATGACAAAATTACAGTGGGAAGTGGTGGGCTGTTATATAATATACTGCTGCTGCTGCTTGCTATTAATTAGCCAACCGAGATGGAGCTAGCTTCACAATTAAGCTATTTTATTTATTTTTTTGTAATGATTAATTTACCTAATCTTCTTGATTTCAGATTCCTACTGTCAACAATGTGCTTTCTGTGTAAGTTTCTTGGGATTATCACTGTTCTTTTCTAATTATTGACAGACTTTTCATTTGTATTTGGAAAGTAATTAGCTAGGATTACTTTATATTATCTTAATTAAGATGGTTAGCCAGACCAGGTGGCTGGAAAACATCATTCTCACGTCAGAAAAAAACAAGAAGAAAAAGAAACATTGACAAACTGGACGACTAATTAGTTCAATTACACCTAACACTTCTGCACCATAGGTCCATAACACCATGGGCAGCCATTGAAGGTCTTGAATATTTTGTATGGAATTTTTTTTATTTACCATTTGTTTCAGTCAAGTATTTTTAATTTAGAGTTGAGAAAGTGAATTATAAATATCCTATGTAGCACTCTAATATCTAGTCAATTTTAGTTACATTCTAATTAGTTCTGGGATATGTTCTGCAATATGTATTCACTGCTAAAAAAAAAGTGGATTTCGTTCTTTCTTTGCATGTGTGGACATAGATAGTACACATTTTATTAGTGAAGAATGTAATTATGTGTCGTCCATTTTCTTTACTTGGCCTATGATCGTTCGTAGTAGCAAGTGGTACTAGAGTATTTTCGGGTGACTTGTTTGGATTTTTTCCCCCCAACAATCAAGGATGTATGCTATGAACATCAAGGCTCGAAAGTTCACTAGGAGAACTAGTTTCGGTATATGGCAGATCATAATGGTGAGAATGAACCCAACTACGGGTACTGCTACTCCAATAAACCTTAAATGCTACTTTACAGTACTTTAGGATTTAATTACTTCCTCGATATGATCTTGATTGATAACACGAATTAGTGATACTATCTTATGTCCCTCTAAGAAGGTAATAAGGTGTTAATTAACACTCTTATGGTACATAAGAATGCTAACACAGTTTGATACTAAAAAATATTTAACCCATGCCATAAACTTACAAATGCATACCATAAACTTGATTTCCATATGTGCATTATTTTTTGGGCACGGAATCACAATTATCTAGTATGGATTCGCAAATTTATGATATGCATTCACAAATTTATGGTATGATTGGCACTTAGCCTCTGTGGAGCTAGCGGACCAAACGCCAAAATGGTAAGACGTGCAATTAACGATGAAGACAAAATGGGAAACTTGGCTCATTCCCAATGGCCAAAAAAAACGTGTGCATACATATTGGCTTTTCAGAAACTGGAATTTGTCGGGTGGGGTAATGGCTCAATTAACCAAACCTGTCAAAAAAAGAGTTGCTGGTTTTATTGCTATTATTGGAGGAGAATATGGCCAATGGAAATGAATGTTGTAACAATATGCGAATGAGGGAGGGGAATTCATACCTCGGCATTGGGCCTCTGGATTATCCGTCGACCAACAAGATTTTTAAAGTCTGTGTGTTTGGTTTTGCTGTTGTTGTCTTGTTGTTTGATTTCCCCCACTTTTTCCACCTAACACTTTCAAAACTATTGTCGGGTTTTACGAAGGACAATCGATTCTGTAATAATGAAAAGGAAAGGAATGAAGAGAAAGAAAAGAATGGACAGAAGGGGGACAAGAAAAGAAAGGGGGGATGAAGCTTCGGTCATCGCTTTCATCTAAGCTATAGAGATGGTGTTGATAACTGATAAGACAAAAAACTAGCAAGAGTAAGACCAATACGTACACATACAAGACACTTGCTTATATGGCTACAAAATACATGTAATCTGATAAAAAAAAATTTCTATTGTAAAAAAAAAAATGATGTTTTTTTTAATATATAAATGATGCCACACTCTCATATAATTTCAGGATTAATTGATGTTGGTAAAAATTATCGCAACATATATCTCTACGAAATATGTTTTTTTCTCACATCCATATAAATGATAGTATAAATATTTGATTTTCACATTTGACCGATGGATTTCGAAATCGTCGTGGTAAAAAAATGTCGCTAGAGAGATTTTTTTCCAGTTTTGCACCGCCCAACCAACAGTGGCGGAGCGAGAAGTTAAACTTAGGTGTGTTTGTTTTTCATAATAAAAATAATTTCGATTGAGGATATCACTTATAACGTACGTAATAAAATTAATTTAATGGCAATCAATTAACAATAAGTGAGGTTGGGTATATTTACTAACCTTAAATTGGTTACTTCAATCCTTTTCATATGCATATATATAGGAGTTTATTGTCGTTTTCTAAAAACTTATTTGTATCCTGTGACATAGCCTAACTCCTTTGGCTCCACTGCTGCCAACCAAAATGATTTGAATAAAAACTTCAACACGACTCGGCTCAACCGGTTGCCTCAAAACATGTTTCTAGCCTGGAGCAAATTCTCATCCCTCACATGATGATTTCTCTTCCACGCTTGGTGATTTCTCTTCTCTCCATGAAGTAAACTCTCTTCTCATCTGGGTATGAAGAACCCTAGTCGTATATGTTAGGAATGATTATATGACCACGATTTCGTGGATGATTGATTCGATATATTCGATTGAGGCATTATTCCGAATTGCATGAGTCCTTATCAAACTTTTGTGATTCCTACTTTAATCTAGAACGATAGTCTCTGCATAGGTTAATAGACCAACCTTAATTGGAAGTAGTGGATCGATTACTTTAATCGAGTAATCAATTCACTGCGCTGTACTCGAATTGAAATCTAGTAGTGGAAGTTAGGTGTATTAGTGCCTTGGTTAGCTTACTCCGGCGGAGGTTTGTCGCCCGTCGCGTATTCGAACTGAGAGGGTCTGGAATTCTTTAGTCAAGATTCCAGACTTGTCAAGAACTTTCCGTGCGGACAATGAAAATCTGCTCCAAGCGGCTAATCGGTACTCCAAGGGTGAGGAATTGAGCTCCGAGGTCTTCAGATCGCTCCAATCCTTGCCCAAGGGTATTCTTTGTCACTTTCTCTCTCTAGGGTTCTCTCTAGATGTTTTTTCATTTTGTTGAAAGCCAAAAATCACATGCCACATGCTTGAAACTTTAGGTACACATGCTCAATTTTAAGAACTTCCTCCATCGCTCACTTTTACTTTTGGCAGAAATCATGCAAGAATCATTTTGTGGAAACTCTAGTAAATTCAAATAATGGGAGCTTCAAACAGACACAAGGGTAACTCTTCATTGATGTAGACACAAAGAAAGAAAGACACATGACTCAAGGGGGTTGACTAAAGGGTATGGCACACTGGGACAGTCAATTTGGTCGTAGACTAATCCTATGCCTCCATCTTTCTCATTAGTGGCAACGTGAATACTACACATCATGGTAAGAGAGATTTATCACATAAAAAAGAAACGAGCAGACACAAATCTCACAAGGCTACCTATATGCTTTGTCCCTCATTCTGATTCCTTAAACTCGATGCATAGACAACTGTATTTGACTTGTTTACCTCCTTTAGAAAATCTCAAGTACAAAATAAGGCTTTGACATTTTTTTCATGACACATTTTCTCCCCTTTTTTACACATTAAATTTTCCAGTCAAAATAAGCAATTATTATTCATTTATAAAAAATACCGTATATACTATTCGAATACATAATAATTATTAATATTTCAATTGATAATATTAAATATTCCACTTGTAGATATATGGTATATAAATAATTATTCGAACAAACAAAGTATATGAATTATTTAATATGATAATATTGAAATATTATGTGGATTCTAACTTAGAAAGTTTCAAATGAATATACATGACCGTAAATGGTTCGAAATTTGTAGACAATTTCTTAAATTTGACAACCTGGAAATAGAATCAAATATTAAATACAAATAATAGATTGCGTTAACATGAATCATTTGAATGTAGAGTACTTTCATTTCAATGTGTAATTTACAATGTTGCGGCCTCCTTTTTTACTAGCAAGGCTACAAAAAGATAATAAAAAGAGATCTCAACACAATTGATCAAATCTCATTATCATTTGTCTAACTACAATTTTCACTTTTTCCGATTTCAAATGATAGCCTAAAAAATGGGAAGAAAAAGATATGCAGAGAAAAGAAAAGGGGGAGAAAAAAAACTCACTCAAATTCTTCTTTCATCCCACCTTTACCTGCTTGTCACAGGAGACACCAAAAAGAAAAAAAAAAAAAAAAATAAACATCTAATTAATGATGCTTATGAGTGAGAGTATGATGATTCCTTTAATCCTTCTAAGTCTTTTTTTTTTTTAACTTGAGAGACTCTTGCATTAATTTTCTTCTTCCTCCATCGACTCTTTCCTCCTACGTTTCGCCCTATCTTTAAGGTACATCATACAAACAAATCGTATGACGTATATTTTGTTTTTCTACATATAGATAGAAGTATGTGTGAGATTCTTCTTTTAATCATCTTAAACAAAAAAATCTTTACTGTTTCAGTGTTTTCATCATTCAGCATGGCTTCCCGACAAAGCAATCCAGTGCTCCAGAAAAACGAGTCAACCTAGTAACAAAGGTTCCAGGCTTTTGTTTGATGAGTTGTTGCCTCGAAACTTTTTTGTACGCTTCAGGGTTTCCCGATGGTACGAAGAAAGCACCATTCATCATCAGATCTCCCTCCGATATCCAGTCCCAATTCTTCCACTCTGATTCTTGTGCATACTCCCTC